ACGAATTCAGATATAGAGCTTTAATAAGTTGTACTTACGCACAATTTACTTGTAATCTTGAGTTTTAAGTAATATGCATTAATAAACAGTACTTTATGCATAAAAAATGGTTTTTAAGAGTTTTTGTCAAATTTATACTATATTATAAAGCATTTGACAAAAACTCTTAAAAACCACTTTTTATGCGTAAAGTACCGTTTATTAATGCATATTACTTAAAACTTAATATTACAAGTAGATTGTGCGTAAGTACAACTTATTAAAGCTTCATATCCGAATTCGTGTAACTAACTGCAGATAAACATTAATCAAATATAGGATAAACATCTCATTTTAAATATAAAAAATCTAAAATATAATTAGGATAATATTGAGTTCTAACAGAATACTTAATTATTATCTTTATAAAAAAATATTATTAAACCTAAATTAAGTTACTTCGTTACGATAAGTTAAATTATAATAAAAATTTTGAATTAAAAAAAATACACAAATAAAAAAATTTAAATAGTTAATTTGTTATCAATGTTAATATATTTTTTGCAAATTTTATATGATATTTTCAAATTTATATTTTACTCAAAAATAAGAAATTATTGGTTTCTTAAAACCACATAAAATCGTATTATATCGACATGGATAAAAAATAAAACGAAACATTGAAATGAAAATATGTCTCGATGCATTGCACGAGTATCCTTATAGTGTTTTATATTATAGTATAGATAATATCAGTAATTGGGTTCTTTTGTTGATAGAGGGCTATTCATGGAATAACGTATTATCTTGTGAGAACCGTAGTATTTAGTTTAATTCATTAACTTAATTTAGCGGGTTTTTGAGGTTGCTTATAAAGACAACTTATTGACTTATTTCGGTGTGGTATCGGTAGTAAACACTTTTGAGTGTTTTGATAAATAACTTATACCATTGTCAAACCGGTAATAAGAAGTTTTTAAATAAGTTAAACTTTACTAGCTTATAATAAGTTGATAAATACTTTTATAAAAAAACATAATTTGTTTCAAATAAACAATCCAAACACCCCATTAATCTAAAGCTTATGGCAATTAATTCATAATCAAGTAAAGGAGGGCATTGATGATCTCACATTTATCAATTACAATTTACAACTCATCAAATCTTATTTATTTAAAATTTTGAATTTTATGGTTATCTCATATACATATACACACACACATATATATATATATATATATATATATATATCAACACCCAAATCTGCAGCTGTTTATTAACTTAGCAATATCGAGATTCTTAACCTTTCTCGTATAAACTCTTAACATTTCAAAAATTCATTCCGTAATCCAATTTCTTTTTGAATTTAAAACTGTAAATTAGTTTGTGCATCAATGACAACACCAACCATGATAGTTTGTAGAGTCTAATAATGCACATATTCAAGAATCCGATTTTCTTACGGAATTATGGTATTAAGCCTTTTTTTACTGTGCATGTTGAACAATCCGATTATCTCTTAAAATTGGTTTTTAGCCCTTATTTTACCAATCGTGATGGTATGACGTGAGGAGGTTTTTACACACTCTTGGACATATGAAAGGAACTACAAAGTAAGTATACAATATGGTCCAACATCTTATTTTCCAAGTAATAAAGTGGTAAAGTGTTGGTTATCGTCTACAAAGATTGTAGTAAGAGTTTAATAAAAGTCTAATGAAAGAAATGAATTTAGATGATGATTTTTAAGATTTTGATTGGTTTAATTTAACAGATTAAATAACAGAATAAATAAATGTAGTATGAGTGTAAGACTTGTGGTGAGACCTAAGCATAAATTTCAACAGACAATGTTGTAATAATGTTACGGCAAACAGTTAGTCATAACTAGTTCCGCCATCTATTTTAAATGTATTCCTCATATATTTCAACCATTGCGTTATATCATAGTTTTCAACTCATATCTCTATGTGATATCATGACTAGTAATAGTGTCAGATAGTGTCCTCAAAATATATGAATTAACAAATTCATTTGTTCAAAAGTCACTCTTCCAAGTATATTCCAATATCATTCAAGTTGATGTGTTTTTAACAGTTCATTCTTGAGTCTACCATAATTTTAACACTTTGATAAACGACCAACCTGTCGAGAAAAATTAATTTGAAAAACATAGATGACATATTCCTTTATTAATAACTAGTCCAAGTCTACTTCTCATATTGTTCGAATTGACGTGTACTCGGTGGCTCATTCCCGAGTCTACGACACTTTCACACTTTTAAAATGATCAAGTCGTCAATAAATGTTTTTGACTTTATAACACTTGAATAAAATAGTGGAACGTTGTTATTGCGAAACAACGTCAACTTTCCTTCGGTTTAAAGTCCCACTCTTCGCCTCACACCCAAGCTAATGTAATTAGCTACTCATTACGGAGAGGAAATAACAAGAAATGTAACGACATAAAGTAAATACATAAAAATAAATGAGTGAAAGTAAATGATTGAATGTAAACAGCGAAAGGTAAAGAAAGTAAAGACAAGATGCAATGTTGCAGCAATTGAATGTAAAATGCAACAATTTAAAGTAAGTACTTGAATTAATTTGAATCAAAGTACTACGGCCGACGTAATCTGATTAAAATGGATAACAAGAGTCCGAGAAGCTTATATTTATACAAGGATAGAGGAGAAAAGACAAAATGCAATTAGAAGACAAGGTTCCTAAAAAGCGAAGAAAATGTAGAAGAATATACTTCAAGCATCATAACAAGTACACAAGGTACTATCATGTAGAATCTTCTCCAATATCTTCAATCGTTGCCCAAAAATTAACAAAAAATTGTCTTCATGCATGCACAACAGCAGAATCCATAAAGCATATCCAAAAAGCCGCACTACAAAGACCAATGTGACACGAATGTTGCAACACATGAACAGTAGACATACATGTTCAAATTAGCCATCCAATGTTGTAACAACACATAAATCACTTAATTTAGCTCCGTGAATAAACACATGGAAAATAGCATAATAAAAAAGACTCAAAGTTGGGATTAGGGGAAAATAAACTACCTAAAATTAAAGAAATAGGTGCTTCATGCCTTGAATAATCAATGCATATCATATGCACAATGTGATGGTTGGACACAATCCAAGTGATGGTGTGCACGTGGTACTCGTTTTTAGTCTTATTTGCCAAACGTGAGAGCATGCATATTGATTCATGCTTTAGTGATGATTATCATGATGTGCACAATCGCATATTTTCTTCCTAATTTCTTATGAATCGATTATCTCATGTTGCGAACCACGTTTATGGGACAACGAAGAATGGGTTAAAAAACTACATTTTTAACAAATACACAACACTGTCAATGAACAACAGATCTTACAACAACGTTGTAATATGTACAATTTTTTTATCAAGTTATCGATATCAAAACACTATCTTTTGTGGCCTCATCGGAAATAAATGAACAACATAACACAAACGTTACTACTCTCCTTATATGTCTACCTCTTTAAAAAGATTAAAACAATATGGATTACCAAAAAACTATAATTCCATGTTTATGTCAGTCACAAATTTGTTGGATTTGGTGTTATTTTCCTCCCCAATTTGCTGATTTTGATTTTTTTTGGTAACCATGGGTTTTCGGACCAGCTTACATGCACTGATTAATCCTCAGCCAACCACGAGTTCATGGAGTCATCATAGGTGAACCTCCATAACCACAGTGTCTTTCTTGAGATTTTTTAATCAGTACATAACGACCCAAGTGGTTAAAAAGTCTTAACCACTGCATCGACTTAGATGATAGTTGCAACATATACGGGAATCGAGTTCACGATATAATTTAAAATGAAATGGATAAGAATCTCGCATTTAAGTTAATTAAGATTTGGGATAATAATGAAGATTTGAAAAGGATTACATAACCGATTTGTAATTAAATTAATTAAGATTTGTTTAGTTATAAAAGGTAATTATTAAATTACTAGTATACTAATAATTGTAACATTATATTCATTATCATCAAATTAATCATCAATTTAATTATTTTTGAAGAGTTATTCATTAGTGATTTGTGGAGTCTTAAAAAATATGTTTAAGAAAAAATCTCCAAAATCTGCATTTTAGAAATTTGAGATACTCGTAATTAAAACATCTCCAATAACGGGAGATTTTTGCTAAAAACAAATTATCTAAAACTTTCTCTAAAATGGAGTAAATGGCTGTTTGACAGTTGCTGAATAGTTTGGTGTAAAATAATTAAGAGGCTCCCATGATACAGTGTAAAATGAAATATAATTATTAGGTAATTATTTACAACGAAATTAGGGCGTTGAATGGTTAAGAGAGACACATGATACAAAATTATTCATAGGGTTTTGGAACCATTAAGAGACAAATTTTTTATTGTCAAACAAGATTTATCTTTTAACGATTCAGAGATTGACTCTTAATGAAATTATTAAGAGGTAAACAAACAACCTCATGGGAAAAATAATGAAATTTTCTAAATTTGGGGAAAAAATATTTTATAAATTATATTAAATATTTTAATAATATAATTAATTATGTAATTTTTGAGATAAAAAATCTGTTTGGAAGATTTTAATTTTTTTTTGTAAATTTTAATTTTTTGCTTATAACTTTAAGAATTTATTGGAAATACTAAAATACATTTAGAAAATGGTGAGTGATGGCTAGAAAAATGTAACAAACACGACAGCGTTTCACATGTTTACCCACCACCCATGGTCTTACCGTTGAATTCAAGACTCCACAAATCGCGTAATGAAGCAAGTGAAAAGGCAGTCCACAATAATTAAAGAAATGCATTTTCCAGAAGGGTAGAATGGTCAAATGGCAATGGCTCCCTTCCTCCATCTCCTCCTTTAGGAAAATAGACGTTACAGCTACGGTATAATTTACGCACCTCCCAACCGAAAAACGTGTCCTCCTCTCCCCTCATTTACACTCTCTCTCTCTCTCTCTCTCTCTCTCTCTCTCTCTTGTGTCTACTGTGTGCTTGTCTGTGCGACGACTATCTACCTACCTACTCTGATCGATCGAGGACTCCTTGTTTTCCTTCATGTTGATGAAGATTGAGACGTAGAAGACAGAACATTTCACAGGTTCGTTTCTTAAGTTTGTTCGTTTTAATCGATTTATAATCTGCTGTAGTTATGCTGTTGTTTGGATTATGAATGGTGTTGTCTATGGAAAATTATGTTGAGATTATATGCTGTGTTTTTATTTGTGTGGCTATTTTCATTGATTTTAAAGAATTTTGATACGTAGGAGAGAAAGCATTTAACAGGTTTATTTGGGTTTTATATAAATCTCCTCGTTTCTGTTGATCCATAATCTGTTTGTTTTATGTTGTTGCTTGGATTATGACTGTCATATATGGAAATTTTTACTGAAATCCGTGGGGATTAATGTGTCTTATTATTACTATTTCCTTGACACACACAAAATATATATGGTGTATGAGCTCATATTAATGATTATTTTTCTGAATCAAATCTTATTTTCGTTCGAATCTGTTGATTGTTGTTAAATTGCTAGGTGTTGATGTGGATTTTTTCTTATGAACTTGCTAGTTTTTGAATTAAGCTGTTTTGAGGAAATTGTAGATTTGTACTCGATGCAGATTTTTTTTCAATTATAGGGAATATATATGGAGTTTAAATGTATTTTAGATATGGATCAACTTGCGAGGTACTAAATTAATCCAAAATCATAACTATTTTGATGCATTTTCTGCGTTTAAGAATTGATTTTGTGGACTACGAATAAAAATAACGTCTCGAATCGGAGGATTTTATTTGATTCCGCTTTGTTGTCGGTGTCATGCTGGTGATTTGTATGATATTATTTATTTTCTAAATTTTGTAGGTTTTTCTTATTGGTCTCAGGATATGGGGTGAGCGCAGTTAATATAAAACTCTAGTCGTTAGGTGTGAAAAATGGCTATTGCTGGAATAAATAATGTTTCGGTGCTTGATTCTTCTTATCTTGGTGAGAATTATTCCCCAGTATCAAGGAGGTGGGGTAATCAAGAGAGGCCAATCTCCCGAACATCTTTTATCCGGAAAATGTGGCGGGATCTTGAAGGCGAGAGCAGATTTAGGGACAATGAAAGGCAACAGACAAGTGGCATGGGGTATGGTAGCATTGGAAGCCTATGCTCATGTTCATCAGGTGGGGCTGAAGGTGAGGATCTGTCAGTAAATACCAGTGAAGTTGAGAATGAGTGTCCCAGGGACCAGAACCAGATGGGGCTTCAGAATGGACAAGAGGATGATGGGAACATGTGCTTACAGCGCTTGCCTGCTTTTGGTGTAGCAGAAAAACAGAGAGTGAGGCAAGTTTTCCGTGAGTGGGGAAGCAAAAACTGTAGTGGGCGTGCATTGAATGTTTCACATAAGAACAACTGTTCAAGGGCTCAATGGCTTTGCGAATATGAATGCAAGAGGGTGAGGACAGTGAGACAATGGATAGAGTTGAACACTCAGCAAGCAGAAACTGGTCATTCTGGTGCAGAAGAGCAAGGTACTGAAATTGGTTGTCAGATCGAACAAGGTCGAGATGGATTGGGTGTCAATCATACTCGGGTTGGTGCTCGAAGGTCTATCTGTAGGCTATATGGCAGACAGGCTCTTCTTGACTTACTAACCAGGTTTGAGAGGGAAAGGAAAAGAGAACTGCGGAGTTTGTTGGAGAATAGGCCAGTAACAAATTTTGCTCATCGGAATCGACTTCAGGTTTGACTTTTCTATTCATTCACTCTGTTCTGTGCTATGTGCTTCCCGTAGCACCAACAATGAGAACAGAAAGCGTTTACAATAGTTTGGCTGACTGACAATAGTTGCATGGTTCTGTTACCTCTATATGCTGGGCTGCATGATTTGCATATGTATGCGTTAGTCATAGACACATTTATTAGTGCAACAATGTTAACTTTATCATAAAGATGATTGTGGAACATAGAGTGAGAAAATGTGTTCCCTTATTTTGTCAAAGCTTTACTAGATTGTGATAGCATGAAATGTGATACAAAACTCTTCTGCTCAGACCATTCATGATGATTAACCTCATTCTTTATCAGAATAATATACCTTAATATTGGGTCTAATGAACGTATGAGTTAGTAATGAATGCTTTCTCATACTACCTCTATTCTACCTGGATGTTACCATTGGACAAAAAAGTACTTCCAAAATACGCAAGTTTAGAGTAAAATGACTCCTTCTACTTAGTTTTACAACTCAATCACATACATTTATCATCTTTTGCCAATTTTGGTTATTGGCTTATGTGGGTGAGAGGAAGTATTGTTTATGGAAAATCGCCGTGTTGTTTCTTAAATAAAAAATATACGAAGAAAAATACGTTTGTTTGTTTGAAAAGCCTCATCTGACTAGCTTTGCATGCTATGATGACCACTGATTTTTTAGTCCATGATACACAGAATTAGGATGCTCTCTCTGATGATTTTGTCAAATGAAGGATTCTCAATCTGCTAAATACATATATTGTTTATATACTTGTTGTCTAGGATGGTTTCATAGCCCAGTTGATGTTATTGATACAAGTAGAGATGTTAATCTAGATATTTTTTTTGTTTAAACTTATGTATGAGGTGCTTTTATGTATTACTGTGACTTGAGGCATTTCTCTTGATGTTGCATTGATGCTATAATTCTGCTGTAGTCATTGCTCAGAGGTAGATTCCTGTGGAACCAAAGATTTGTACAAGATAAAAAGTGTACTTCTATTGCAGCAAGTGAGTTGGGGTTATTGAGGCAAACACATACGGTATCTGATTTGAGGTATGATCTCTTTTCACAGTTTATTTAATACATCTGGCTGAAGTGCAGAGAATATTATTAACTGGCTTGCCAGTGAAGCATTCCTTTTTTGATTTATCAGGAATTTATCTTTTTTGCTGTTATGCTTTGTCTGGAAATTGCTTATTGCTTTATTTGACATCATATGACACCTTATGTTCATCATTTGTACTTTCTATGTATTTACGGATTAAGAATTACCAACTGATCTTTTTAACGTGTTTTAGTTAATTGACGAGATTTACCTATCATCCATAGCACTTGTCGTTTGTGGTAGATCAGTTGTAGAGTTGAAATTTCCAGTAACGATATGAGTTCGTGTCATGGTTTACAGCATCTGAGTGCTTAACGTATTTTACATCCAATTCGGAATTACTCAGATTTATCAGGAAGCATTTTCCAATAAAAGACTGGATTATCTTATAGAACTAGGAAACCGTACTGTTCTAAAAAATGCTATGCTCATGTATCTTATGTTGTCTACACTCCTCTTGATGCTTATAATTATCATAGATACTTTTTAAATGGGATACAAAATGTTTGTAGAGGCAGATAAACCATGGAAAAGAGATGCTGAAACCTTGTGACAGTTAGTATGAGAGCATGATTGACGTTGAGCCAAGATCATGGCTGGTGGATCCATGGAGCGAATACCAAGAAAAACTGTACAGTTTTGCGGTAATAATGGAGCAATGGGTTGCCGCCACTTGAAGGACATATTAGTTAATTTGGAGGTTAGGGTGATGGCTAAACTAAAAAGGGTTGAACTTCAAGCATCTGGATGTGATGAGGATTGCCTCAGCAGGTTGGAAACTTTTAAAGATGCATAAGTCTGAGGTTATTAGAGATCTTGGGGTGATTGTTTTGCTGTATTTACAACTGATATCATCCCACATATTAGATGCTTTAGTGTTGATTGAATTGTGGGAAATCAATTAGCTTTGAGTAGAGTTATCTAGTATAATTCATCATTTAAGTGGTATTAGAACTTATGTCGAAGAGTCCTGATAAATGATGATTGAGACGACATTTACTTCCCACGTGGGATCATTGCTTTCAGCAACTTGCATAACGACCATTAGTCAGCAAATGTGAATCAGCATGCAATGGCATCAAATAATAATTTTTGGGTTCCAACTCAACTTGTAATTGTTTTGTAGTTGCTATACAAGATGTTAGTCTAGAGATTATTAGTACTAGTAGACGTGTGGAATTCCAACTCAAGAACAATTAGATGTGAATAGAGATATGCCTGTTGTGTTCCGAAGTGGGATCAATGTCTTAACACCTGCACATGGACCCTAGGCCTGCAAATGTGAAATAACCATGTAATGATACCAAACTATATTTGTGGGAGTACCAACTAATTGGTAACCTAGGATCGTGTAGTACTCATCAGATATAAGTTGTATTATATTAGTCATGGGGCCATTAATGTCAATAAACATATGTCCAATATAATTGCAACTTTGAGGAGCACGATTTTGAATCTACACCAAATTGTACGTTGAGGAGCACGGTTTTTATCTTTTAACATGGTAACTTTGTTGTGGTCATTAGTATGCTCTTGGAAGAATGCATAAATACCATATACAAAGCCCACAGATTCGTAGTGACGAACTTTCTTTGCTTCTCATAATATTGTTAAGAACATTGGAGTTTGAATTATAGCTTCATTTACACAAGATTACTGTATTCTTCTTGAAACATTGGATGCTAGCAAGCAAGACAGACTGAAGTTTTAACTGCATATACCATTTAAGTCTATTTGTTCATCCTTTCTGAATTGTTAAAATATGATAATTGCAACCTTTATTTGAAGCAGGAAAGGATTCCTGTCCAGGTTGGATAACTATGGACCTATGCCTGATGGCTCCCAGTCTGATACCTCATCCAACAATGACATGAAATACCATCAAGAAAACTTTCAGGAGCTACCAGATGATATTGCTGATGAATTTGAGTCACCTAACATGAGAAGTGATATCAGTGGAACTCACAAAGTTGACTGGGAAGCCGACACTTGTGGAAGTTCCCGAGAATATTCTGCTCCAGCAGAAGAAAGGCATGAACAAGGTTTGGAAGACGAGGGAAGGCAGCAACAACCATCGACTGAGTTTATTGGAATCGGGGACATAGACCAGGACCAGGATCAAGAGGGTTTAGTGGAAAGGAGTCAGGGTGTTTGTCATATTGAATTGTCTCAACGAGCTTTGGAACTTGAATGCACAACACGAGGTCTATTTCAGTCCAATTGGGAAGAACCAGAAGTTCGTGAGGCATCTGAACATCATGATCCTTCAGAAACAAATACAGATAGCTTATCTTGGCATGGTTCTGCAGAGGAGTGGCAGGAACCACTTACTGAAGACAATGGTATTGAATGGCATCATTTGACTAATACTGAGTCAGATGGGGGTTTAGATGCAGACTCAATTGAGCACGAGCATGAATGGTACCAAGAAACAGCTGTGAGTGATTTTCAAGAATCACATAATGTGTGGTACGACAACACGGACACAGTGGAGGATACTACAGAAAGTTGGTTTGCTCCTCAGGTGGTTAGAAGAGATGCATTTTATACCTCTGATGATGATAATAATGGTAACAGGCTAGAACTTCGAGAACTTATGAGCAGGTACATATCTTAATCACTGGAAATCAGTTATTTCATTCCTAAATAGATTAAACTAAGAAAAGTGTTCATGGTGTAGGAGAAGAGTCTCTAATCTTCTTCAAAGTGATTTCCGTGTGAGACTGGACCAGCTGATACAATCATATGTAGAACGGCAAGATCAGGCCTCTGAATCTGATGATGAGTGGATGCTAGAGAGAGAGCAGCAAGATCAGGATCAGCAGAGTGTCCATGGAAATGATGATGCCACCGAGGCTGTTGAGGGACCAGAAGGTGCTCACTCTTCAGCACCTGCCACCTCTCAGACACACCAAGATGATACTGTGAGTCTGACATCCCTCATTGAATCTGGATAGATATTTTCTGTGTCAGTTGCTTGAAATCAAAATCCTTTTTAACCTCTGTGTATTTGTTATTCTTTTTGGACCTTAGCTAGTAATAATGCTTGCTCAAATATCCATGGGGAGAATAAAGCGGGCATCGAGTTAGGGCTTTTTTGTTGGCAACTTAATGAGCTATGAGACTCGCATCTTATTCGGTCTGCTATACACGAGTGTTTGATATTGGCTTAATGATATAGGAAGTGGCTTATTGAGTAAACTTTTAGGGAAGAGCTTTATGCAGAAAGCCAAGTTTTTTCCAAAACTGTCCCTCCCAATTAAAAAAACATGTTCCTTCTGTCCATGAAAAAAACACTCCCAAACAAAAACCTTCCCAGTTTATACAAATAGATTAGTCCTAYAACCAACTCTATCCCTATAGGGCTTAATGGAAAACCAACCAAACAGCCCCTTAAAGTCACATAAGCTATAGCCTATAGGCTGTTAAATTATGCAA